AATGCACCGGTTTTCAACTTGCGTTCCTGTTACATAGTGAGAATTCGTGGCGCATGTTTTTTTTATTTTTAAACGTCTCCGGTCCCGGTTAGGTCAGCCTCCTTCTCTATCGTTTCACAACAACTTTGTCGGAATGTTGTTGTACTTTGCGGTGATTTGATGGGACTTCTCATTTTCATTGTTTTTCCCCCCACACTGAATTCCCAAAATTGTATGGATTACGAATGTTGTATCGTTTAACTTTAGGGAAATGACTTGCCGTTGATGGAAAACCGGGTTCTGTAATTCCACCATCATAGCAGCAGTCAGTCAACGGTCACCTGCCCAGACGTCTACTGCTAGCTAGCTAACTATCTAACGGTAGAACTGCGTCAGGCTGACACTGACAATGTCATTCAATAATATTTTAAATATTAACATTTCCCCAATGAATATCCTAGGCAACAGATCAATCATTTATAGGTGTTTTATCACTGGACGTGGACGACTAACTAGCTAACTAAGCTAATAGTAGTTATCCTCCTAGCTAACGTTAACCTTAGTGTGCTAGCCAACGGTAGCTTCTGTAAACTGTCGCCATTCCAGTGAAAGGTCGGCGCTGGCTGTTAAACAGGCAAGGAAAACATTTGCTCGTTTTTAATGAAACGTTAATTTAATGTTAGATAGCTAATAACTTAACGTTGTAACGTTAACTAACGCTAGTTGAATTTTGACTGTTTGCCATAACCCTGGATAGTCGAATATGTGTGCGGTACTGCTAGCTAGCTAACTAACTAGGGTTAGCTATCTAACGTTAGCTAGTTAACTAGCTTCGTTTTAGTGTCGAGCATGAAATGGCTAGCTCGTAAAGAAAAGTCATACACCGCTAGCTAACGGTAGATTTGTGCTTATCAACTGACTGACTGTCTCCCATTGGCTAACGTGAACGCTGGTTAGTTAGCTAGCTAACGTTATCTATCATGCAGAAGAATCCATGACTACCGTTCGTTGGCTAGCCAACCAGGCAGCTGCCAGTGTCAAGGAAGTTTGCTGAAGCCAGCCACTCTTGAGATAAACGCCGAAGCGTCTCCTGTCATTTGTTCGCTAGCTAGATTGCAATCTACAGTGACATATATTATATGGTGCAAGCCCAACGAACGTTCGACCACATTTGATTTGATCAGCTGTTGGCCATAACAAGATGTTGCAAACGTTTTATGGTAAAATAAATATTTTCGACAACTATATTGCTCTTTTAGTTAAGTTTGTGTTGGATGCTAACTATTTGTACTACCAGTTTACCAATTGTTGCTGTATGAAATATTTGCATGGGTATGCCTACTGTAAAGCCCCTTACCTTTTGCCCATTTGATGACTATAACGGGTAACCCATAACATGACTGTTATTGAGTGAAAAGAAGGCCACCCAATCAAATCGGTTCAGCCTCCATTTGCTCTTCACGTCATTCCCCGTGCTAATCCACTATCAGGCCACAAAAACAAGTGGTGAGAGCCTGTCTGTATGCTGCCATATGAAACAGATTAATTTGACAGTGGCTGGGCTTCCTCCTTTGGGTGCCTGGCTGCATAACAAGGCTACTGAAATGTTTAGATCTTAATTTATAGATTAATATGCTGCACCAGTTTGCTTTCCTGCCATACAAATTTAATCAGTTCAGGTGTACTATTGGAGTTCAGGTGCGATTATTATTATTCCAAAGGGGGTCAGGTCACTCTTTATAACTTGGTGCTTGTTGTGGTCTTATGGGCTTACAGTTGTGGGGGTGATCACTGTCATGTGAGATACTTTCTCTAGGGCCAGAACACTCTGGGTGTAGTTGAATACAGATTAAGTGCCTTGATCATAGGGTTAAAGTCAACCTGGCCTGAGTCACTCCACAGTGGGACCTGTTCCACAACATCGCACCTTAACCACCCAGTTTGACATCAATGTTCCTAGCAAGACGCCCTTACGTAGGATGACTCGCATAGCTTGCATGTTTTACATATTACTCCCGACACACATCGTGGAATTTGCTTACACATTGACTAGCCTAAAATCAAGATGCGTCAGAACTTTTGTCCATTGGGTCAGGAGTATAGCCTACGTTCAGTAGGCCTAACTGACTGCACTTGTTAAGTGTGATGGTAGGAGGCAGTATGGGAGCTTACAAAACTCACACCCTTTACAGGATGCCCTTAATGTAACTCATTTAGGCTCCTGTGTCATTCCCTAGGTTGCTGTCTGCATGGGTTAAAAGAGCACAGGCTCTCTTAGGAGCCTATTAACAAGCTGGAGTCAGAGACCAGCACTATCAACAGCCATTAAAAACCATCCGTGGGGAGGAACAGGCTGTACTTGGGCAGGGTGGGAGCTGATGCAGCCCGTAGTAACCAAGAAACAATGTGCATTGGTTCATTACAAGATGTTCTCTTCAGCACACCTGCATGTCAATTATGATCCCCATTATTCCTATACAGTTTCACAGTGAGCTAATCTATTCCATTCCATTTGAAATATGAATCATATTTTCTCTGTTTGGCTTGGCATTCTTTTTAAATTAATTGGGTCCCAAAGCAACTGAGGTCATCTAGGTCAGATCTTTGAAATCAGACTGAACAAGGTCAACAAGCCATATTATGTTCATGTAAAGTAGCTACAGTGGGGAGAACAAGTATTTGATACACTGCCGATTTTGCAGGTTTTCCTACTTACAAAGCATGTAGAGGTCTGTCATTTTTATCATAGGTACACTTCAACTGTGAGAGACGGAATCTAAAACAAAAATCCAGAAAACCACATTGTATGATTTTTAAGTAATTAATTTGCATTTTATTGCATGACATAAGTATTTGATACATCAGAAAAGCAGAACTTAATATTTGGTACAGAAACCTTTGTTTGCAATTACAGAGATCATATATTTCCTGTAGGTCTTGACCAGGTTTGCACACACTGCAGCAGGGATTTTGGCCCACTCCTCCATACAGACCTTCTCCAGATCCTTCAGGTTTCGGGGCTGTTGCTGGGCAATACAGACTTTCAGCTCCCTCCAAAAATTTTCTATTGGGTTCAGGTCTGGAGACTGGCTAGGCCACTCCAGGACCTTGAGATGCTTCTTACGGAGCCACTCCTTAGTTGCCCTGGCTGTGTGTTTCGGGTCGTTGTCATGCTGGAAGACCCAGCCACAACCCATCTTCAATGCTCTTACTGAGGGAAGGAGGTTGTTGGCCAAGATCTTGCGATACATGGCCCCATCCATCCTCCCCTCAATACGGTGCAGTCGTCCTGTCCCCTTTGCAGAAAAGCATCCCCAAAGAATGATGTTTCCACCTCCATGCTTCACGGTTGGGATGGTGTTCTTGGGGTTGTACTCATCCTTCTTCTTCCTCCAAACACGGCGAGTGGAGTTTAGACCAAAAAGCTCTATTTTTGTCTCATCAGACCACATGACCTTCTCCCATTCCTCCTCTGGATCATCCAGATGGTCATTGGCAAACTTCAGACGGGCCTGGACATGCGCTGGCTTGAGCAGGGGGACCTTGCGTGCGCTGCAGGATTTTAATCTATGACGGCGTAGTGTGTTACTAATGGTTTTCTTTGAGACTGTGGTCCCAGCTCTCTTCAGGTCATTGACCAGGTCCTGCCGTGTAGTTCTGGGCTGATCCCTCACCTTCCTCATGATCATTGATGCCCCACGAGGTGAGATCTTGCATGGAGCCCCAGACCGAGGGTGATTGACCGTCATCTTGAACTTCTTCCATTTTCTTCCAGTTGTTGCCTTCTTACCAAGCTGCTTGCCTATTGTCCTGTAGCCCATCCCAGCCTTGTGCAGGTCTACAATTTTATCCCTGATGTCCTTACACAGCTCTCTGGTCTTGGCCATTGTGGAGAGGTTGGAGTCTGTTTGATTGAGTGTGTGGACAGGTGTCTTTTATACAGGTAACGAGTTCAAACAGGTGCAGTTAATACAGGTAATAAGTGGAGAACAGGAGGGCTTCTTAAAGAAAAACTAACAGGTCTGTGAGAGCCGGAATTCTTACTGGTTGGTGATCAAATACTTATGTCATGCAATAAAATGCAAATTAATTACTTAAAAATCATACAATGTGATTTTCTGGATTTTTGTTTTAGATTCCGTCTCACAGTTGAAGTGTACCTATGATAAAAATTACAGACCTCTACATGCTTTGTAAGTAGGAAAACCTGCAAAATCGGCAGTGTATCAAATACTTGTTCTCCCCACTGTATGTTGCGAGGAATTGCTTTGTATTAATTGTAATTATTCTAAGCCAAGGGCCTACACTGAGTGTACAAAACATTAGGAACACCTGCTCTTTCCATGACATAAACTGACCAGGTAAATCCAGGTGAAAGCTATGATCCCTTATTGATGTCACTTGATAAATCCACTTCAATCAGTGTAGATGAAGGGGTGGAGACAGGTTAAATATGGATTTTAAGCCTTGACACAATTGAGACATTGATTGTGTATGTGTGCCATTCAGAGGGTGACTGGGCAAGACAAAATATTTAGGTGGCTTTGAACAGGGTTTGTTAGTAGGTGCCAGGTTCACCGCAGTTTGAGTGTCAAGAACGGCAACGCTGCTTGTTTTTTTCACGCTCAACAGTTTTCCATGTGTATCAAAAATAGTCCACCAACCTAAGGACATCCAGCCAACTTGACACAACTGTGGGAAGCATGGGCCAGCATCCTTGTGGTACACTTTTGACACCTACGTCCATGCCCTGATGAATTGAGGCTGTTCTGAGGGCAAAAAGGGTGCAACTCAATATTATGTTCCTAATGTTTTGTACACTCGGTGTATATCATGGTGTAACAGAATAGGCCTACCTTGTGTAACATTAAATGCAACACAGAGATGTGACGCAAGTCTGTTTCCTATCTTTCAGGTCGTGCCGGTGAAGTAAGCCGTAGCCCAACATGATCCCCTCCGACTGAGACGCAAACACGTCTAGTGTTTTGCCAAACAGCTGATAGCTTTCATCAGTTAAAGCCATGCCTGACGAGTGAAGTTCCCTATTTGCTCACAGAAAAAAAAACAGCACCCTACATGTTTTTCCATGTAGCCTCCTCCCTGTGTGTCCTGCTAGAGTAAACCCCCCCCCCCCCCCCCCTCCAGATAGGCAATACTGCCCTGTCCCCTCTCCGCACCACCGCCCCTCCATATCCACCCGTCACAATGCTGCTCCACCTCAGAATGGCCAACACCTAAAGATTCCCATGCGTCCAGTGAGCGACGATTCGGACGGTCCTGCTCCTCTTGAAAGCTTCTCGTGCCCCCTAACCCCAGTCAGCCCCCTGCCCGCCTCAGAGATGTCCCTGCTCCACTCTCTGGGCCCAGTGCAGAGCTGGCTGGGCCAGGAGCTGGAGAAGTGCGGGATCGACGCCATGATCTACACCCGCTACGTCCTCAGCCTGCTCCTGCATGATAATTACGACCTGCAGGATCAGGTTGGTGTCCAGCAGCGGCAATGTCTTGTTACAAACGTTATGGTATCTAGTTCCCCCACTTAGTTAAACATACACATAGCCAATGAAGAAGATGTTCTGTTTAGTATTGATTTGAGTCAGTTGATTTTATGTGGTTTAAGTGAACCTAATGATTTAAATCCATCTATTTGATTTCTTACACTTTCAATATTTTAAAACATGCTTTTCCCTTTCCTGTGTAGATGAGCTGTGTGGTTAAATAGCTGATGTAAATGTGTGCGCAGGAGAATGACATCTTGTTGGGCTGGGAGAAGGGAACTGGGAAGAAATGGGCCAAGAGTAAGAAGAGAGGAGGAGGGACGGATCTGAGTCTGGAGGAGATAAAGAAACAAGCCGCTGTGCAATGTCTGCGTTCAGCATCTGATGAAGTAAGTGCCGTTCCGCCCCCCCAGTGTCGCAACAAATTGGTTCTATTCACCCCGGGATTTTTGTGCGCTTGCGGTCTACTCACAGCATTGCTCGTGCACTCTTTGAAGCTTGAGTATTCGGGAGCAAAACATAGACTGATGGTTGGTACAGCAGATCAGTGGTTATTTTTTAAACACACCAGCCTGTAAGCTACAAAGCTGAACATGTTGAATCAATGAAGGACGCATGTGTATGTGTAAATTGGCTAATGATCCGTGTCTGTCAGGACTGTGTTACTGTAATTCTGCGCCTTTTGCCTGTTGAAGTTCAGTCATGCAGATATGAATTGCATAAATCATGGTGAACGGTCATTGCATAAAGCAAATTCCCTGTAAGGGGAACAGGGGAAGACCCTCAGTCAAACCACCATCGTAATCATGTGATACTTGGCATTGGCCAGGCTCATTTTTGTGATTACTCTCCTGATATAATGAGAGTTTACTGGTGAGGTTGGATTGAGTTTAGCAGAGGGAAGAATTGTGAAATGGTGAAAGACTCCCATTTGCTCTGACACTTTTACACTGTATTGAGATTGTTATGGGTGACCTTGCAGAGGTTTCCTTGCATTTTAAGTTCACCGTTTTAATAAGCCTGCATTATAATCTTTCTGTGCCCTTTTTCAAGCAAAATCTGATAGAATTTGCTGACGTTTTCCTTAGCGGTTGGTTGTTTGGCAGTAGTATAGTATCGGCAGTAGCGTGAGGGCTGGGGTAGAGCTGGAGGGTGGGTGTGTGTGGGGTGGGGGTGGGGTGGGGGAGTGTCTGCAAGGCAGAGGAGGAGTGATCTGCTCTCTGGGTACTGGACTCTGCAGTCTATTTTTTTTTTTTTTTAGCCAGCACACGCTGCACGGGATTGCAGCATAGAGAGTGGAGAGTGCGTTGCCTGTCAGCTGACCGGCATTGGCACAATGAGGCAAGGAGAAACACAGGGCCAGGGGAGAAACTTGGAGCGGCATGGTATGGAATGTTACTTTCTGTTAGAAAGAGAGAGTGTGAGTTAAAAGATTTGGACTAGTCCCACCCTGGATATTGTGGTGGATATTTCTGTCCTCACTGAATGCAGTTGCTTTTCTGGCAGTGCCTGTTGCCTACCGGTCTGTTGACATGGCTGTCTTTTTAAATAGACCAGATCGTTGCAGGCCTTGTTTACAGCGAACGGATTACTTAATCTTTGTTCAGAGAGTAGGATATCAGTGGCTATAAGGAAGAAGTAGGCGTCTGAGAGGTCCTAGTTTGGCTAATGCCTGATGTTTTCTAAGTGTTTAGATGGAAAGACGGGAGGTGGTTGTTTGGGCTATGCTTAGTCATTTCTCCCTCACTGCTAAATTGAAAAGTCATGGTACAGCATGTCCGGGCTCTGACAGTCAGCTGGTTAGACTTCTGTCAGGCCCATGTTAATACCCTCTAGTCAGTGTTACAATGGGGTCAAAGTTATTTAAGCAATAAGGCATGAGGGGGGGGGTGGTATATGGCCAATATACCACGGCTAAGGGCTGTTCTTAGGCACGACGCAACGCGATGAACAAAGCCCAGAGGTGCCTTATTGCTATTATAAACTGGTTACCAATGTAATTATAGCAGTAAAAATAAATGTTTTGTCATACCCGTGGTATACGGTCTGATATACCACGGCTGTCAGCCAATCAGCATTCAGGGCTCGAACCACCCAGTTTATAATGTTGGATACATCCAATCACTTTATGAATGGTCTGAAAGATGCATATGTTTTTATTAATGTTCATTCACTGCTGTTTCGCACACAGGGCTCATTAGGTTATTCTGTTTAGATTCTCTTCAATGGACTCTTGGCCAGATACATTCTTAGATGTTACATATTCTCCCTTCTTTTTCCCCCAAAGAACTCTGGAATTGAGAGCCTGGTAGAGGAGCTTTGCTCCAAACTCAAGGACATCCAAAATAAACAGAAAGGTTTGCATCTTTGGTTCATACATTTTCTGCCCTGTTATAACAAAGTAGTAAATATGACTCCTTCTTATCGTATCAATTATAATCTGTTCACAGAAGAAAAACAGCTCAAGAAATCTGATGGATGTCAGTCTCCTGAAGGAGTTGAGTCTCCTTCCTCAAAGGACCAGGTTGAAATGTAAGTTGTTGTTTTACCCAAAACCACAATAATACTTCATTCATAATCATGTCCTGACTAGCTGGCACAACTATTCATATTTGATTTTGTTGTACGTCCATTAAAATATGTGCTTATTTATTTTATGTGCTTTGTTGTATTTTACGGATTGATCTTAATTGACAACATTTTCTCTCCTTGTTGCAGGTATTATGAAGCCTTTCCTCCTTTGTCAGAGAGATCTGTTTGTCTCCAAGAGATCATGACGGTGTGGAACAAGGCTAAAGCCATTGCTTACTCCGGCTCATCATCTTCCGCGGCCCCGCAGACCAGCACCGACACCTCCTCCCCAAAAGATTGCAACAGCGATGGTGAAGCTGCTAAGGAGAGAACCCCTGAGGCATGCAGCACCACCACCACCAACCCAACCAGCCAGAGGGCCCAGCAGCGACGCAGCAAGAAGGAGAAAGAGAACCGATTCCATGGTGGCGCAACAGCAGAGGACCGAGCCTCCGTCCATGGCAAGAAGCAGGTGAGGCACAGGTCAGAGGGCAAGTATCGCCCTCGCTCCTGGTCCTCTGGTTCTAGTGAGGCTGGCTCGAGCTCTAGCGGGAACCAGGGTGACTCCAAAACGTCCAGCAGCAAGGCAGGCAGGATCAGGCACAAGTCCAAGGAGGCGGGCAGCAGGAGTAAGAGGGGGCGCAACAGCGGACAAGTGAAGCTAGCTCTGAAGGCCATCGACAAAGAGGAGCGGAGGAATGCTGGAGGCAGCAGCAGCAGTGCCACTGGAGGCCCTCCGAGGCAAACGCAGCTCTACAAAAAGGGCAAAAGGCAGCTGAAGGAGCTTCGAAAAGATCCAGGCTGGGGGGAAGCAAAGGAGTCCGGAGCTGAGGCCAGCAACAAAAAGGAGTACATGGAGGAGCCCCTGTGGTACACAGAGCCCATCACAGAGTATTTAGTACCGTTCAGTAGCAGAAGGAGCAAACTAGAAACAAAGTACCGGAGCAAGTTGCACTCTCCAGACGACTCGACTATGTCCACTGACTTAGGAAGGCTGTCTGAGAGAATGCAAGGCATCTGCATTGCCAACACAAGCTTCCAGAGGGCGTATCTGGCAGCGGGCACCTTCGTGGACGGGCACTTTGTTGAGGTGCCAGACGACGCAGACGAGGAGGCTACCGAACTCAATGGGACCTCAAGCTGCCCTCCGCCTGATGATAGTAAAGATTTAGATGACGAGCATCTGTCTGAATTCACTCACTTCTATGAAGTCGATATTTATCAATCCATATTGGATCCTAGTGCCTCAGACTCGGTACAAGAGAGTCGGATCTTGAGCATGATTCGACAGAAGAGCGAAGAGCAAAGAGACTTTGAGGCAGAATGTTGTTTAGTGTTAGATGGCCTTGAGCTGCAAGGGGAAAGTGCAATAAGGGTGGACTGTCAGGACGCTTTGGGAGCTGATGGGTTCTTCATGCAGGATTTGGAAAACATGGCTCAGGTCTGGGCATGTTATTCATCCTCTAGCTCTGAAGATATAGATGGAGAAAGCTTTGCAGGGGACTCTCCCGTTCGGCTCTCCCCCGCTTTGGACGGCGTTCCATTCACCATCGGCATGCTGCCTGGAAACCTGGAGGAGCCTCAACTCCCAGAAGCCACCAGTGAAGCGCCTGGTCTGAACTCCTCCTGCTTGTGTCTTTCTGAGCTGCAGTACGATAGCCCTACTCTTCCTTTTCTCACTGCTGGTCACGAAAACAACACAGATTCAAGTAGCTGTCTAGATCCACATTGTAACAAGCAGTCTCGTTTGTTAATATGGACCAAAAATAGTGCCTTTGATGAAACTGAACACTGTTCAAACCTTTCAACGCGAACCTGCAGTCCATGGTCGCATTCGGAAGAGACACGTTCAGACAATGAGCAAATAAACGTTCAAACAGATGAGTCTGCTCTAATTGGCAATGAAGAGATTAATTTTATAATCCCTCCCATCTCTGGTACATACCTAGAGGAAGAAATCCTTGACTTTTTACAAGAAAACACTGGCCGCCAGTGCGAGGAGGCCAATGTAGGCACAGTGTCCAATCCGACCATCGCGAAGAAATCTAAATTGGAGTCCATTTTTGGAATAGCGTTAGAACAGGACGAGAGCAAACAGTACGACGCTGGCATGTTTTCAGATGACACAAACCAACAGAGTGACAACTACAGCAGCTCAGGGATAATAAAGGACATTTGGACAGCTATCGGAGATGGGGATCCCGCACTATCACTAGGTGAAGAGAAGCCAGGCAAGGGCTTGTTTTCCCAGGAGTCGAGCAGCTACCACAGCGGCTGTCTCGACTTGCAGGCAAAGGAAGTTGGTCCCATCCAAGGGCCTCCGAAGAAGGCAGTGCAGCGCTCTGAGTACCACCTGTGGGAAGACGGCCAGAACGGAGAGCAGGCCCCCCTGGCTAAAAACCAGCTTTCAAAGATGAATGCTTCCGGGGATTACATGACGCCGTCCAAGCCCTGGGACGTGAACCCTGAGAAGGACAACACGTCATTCATCCTGGGAGGAGTGTACGGCGAGCTGAAGACGTTCAGCAGTGACCAGGACTGGGCCGTGGTGCCGCCCGGCGACGCGAGAGGCAGCCTTCTACAGTGTGCCACTGCTGCCGCCTCGCCCTCTGGCTCAGACGTGGTAACCATTGCTGGTACAGACCGTGTGTTCATGAACACAGGCAGCTGCTTTGCCTCCGGCCACAAGCCCCTCTGGAGGCCCCTGGTCTCCTTCGGGCAGAGCGACCAGGCTACTAAAGGAGGTGGGGATGGATTGAATAAGGGATTTTCTTTCATCTTCCATGAAGACTTACTCGGATCCTGTGCAGGCTTCAGTGGTGAGGAGCCGGGGCTCGACTACCCGTTTGCGTCCTTTGATCTGAACAATCCGTTCTCTCAAGTCCTCCAGGTTGAGTGCTCCTTCGAGCCTGAGGACATGGCTTCGTTCAGCCCGGGGTTCAAGCCCAAATCTATATTGTGCTCGGACTCTGAGAATGAAGCTTTCCACCCACGGATATATGGCATCAACCGGACCACCCAGTACAGGGCCATCCGCATCTCCCCCAGGACTCACTTCCGACCCATATCAGCCTCAGAGTTGTCGCCCGGCGGAGGGAGTGAGTCGGAGGTTGAGTCCGAGAAAGAAGAGGAGATGAGTGTTCCTGTCCTGGCCCCGCCAGATATCTCAGATGACCCTCAGGCCGACCTCAAACCGCTAGAGGAGGACGCAGAAAACGAGGGCCCATGCTACGGGAAGTCAGAACTGGAATCTGGGAAATTCCTGCCCAGATTAAAGAAGTCTGGCATGGAGAAGAGTGCCCAGACCTCACTGGATTCTCAGGAGGGCTCCAGCACCCTCTTGCCAATTGCTGAGCAAGAGATTTGCTTGGACTGCGAAATGGCGGCTGCAGCAGCAGCAGCAGGAGGAGCAGCAGCATCGACGGCGAGCGGACGGATGGATGTCCCAGTCGACAAGATTCAGAAGGAAGACTCCTGCAGGGAAAAGGAAGCCTGTAAATGTGCAGCAGCAGGTCAGAGTCCCACATATGGGAAAACCTATGACTTCGTTGAAGATTTGCATGAGGTAAGAATCTTACAGAAATGTCGGGTTGTTGGATCAGAATTTACCTTTTTGATTTGTGAAACAGTTTTCCCTTCATTAGACTAATGCTTTCCATTTTTTATTTATAGTTCCCGCTATTAAATATTAGCGGACAGGGACGAACTGGCAGCCAGCAAGATGAGTGCTGGTGGCAGAACACAATCTGTCCCCCCCTTTTCCCTGGATCTCAGTGTACAGGTAAGCTCAGAGTTATAGTAAATCTATGTATCTTGGGCCGAAGGCTAAGATGACTTCAGAAGTATTGGTTTACTATACAGCTGGAAACTTTGAGGTTTGTTTGTTTGTTTGTTTGTCCCGACATACAGATGAGTCATGAATTGGTAATATATTGTTTATATACAACTAGGCTACTTAGTTTAAACTGAATTACAAATGTTTAAATGTGTATCTTAGTTGCAAGTATTCAGCATTCAGTCAGCATAGTCATTCCTATATGTGTGAGCTGTTCAGAGTGCTTTAGAACAGGGTTTCCCAAACTCTGTTGTGCCCCCAAACTTGGTCCTGCCCCCCCCCCCGGGTGCACATTTTGGTTTTTGCCCTAGCACTACACAGCTGATTCAAACCAACTCATGACTTGCCTAGTTAAATGAAGGTAAAAAACCCCCCCCACCACCAACAAAAATCTAACTTTGATTATTTGATTCAGCTGTGTAGTGCTAGGGCAAAAACCAAAATGTGCACCCAGGGGGGGGAAACCATGCTTTAGAATAGAAATGCCAACACCAGAGAGCTCTCTCTCGCTACCTCTCTCTACCCCCCTCTCGCTCTCGCTCTCTCTCTACCTCTCTCTACCCCCCCCCCTCTCTCTCTACCCCCCCCCCCCCCCCCCCAGTGACACCATCTTTAAACAAGTTCCAGTTAACACACATTTAATCAGTAATCAAATACCAACTGTTTCAGTCTTGCTTTGAGCGGAGGATAAATGAACACATGCCCTGTGCACAAGCTCATCTTTCTCAGCCACTGTCTTTATTCTCGCAGGGAGCAGCAACATCTGAGAAGTCCAGCTCTGTGGAGAGGAAGCCTATCGTCAGGAAGATATAGCCTCTTCTCCTTTGACTGCACCTCTACTTGCAGAAATATGGGGGACACCTCAGGACTGGGAAACCATAGGTTTCTGGACGGAGGAACCTCTCCTCCACATCCCACCCCTAACCCTGCTGATTTTCATTTACTAACTTGAATCTTGTGTAATCAACAACAACAAAAAGGCGCAAGTAGGAAAAACTCGAATATGTTCTACATGTCTTCATGTGATCCCATATCTGAAGACGTATGCATTTTAGATTGGTTTTAGTTGATTCTTTCAGACATAATTCATCATAATTAGAGTCAGTTAGATATTAGGGACAGTCTTGTGTTTTTTCCCTCCATCGTTTTTTTCCAACCTTGTTTTTGCTTTTGACCTAGGATACTGGTAGTTATGGTGTCCGAATGGTTGTGCATGTGCCTGTCCTACTAGTCTCACTCCTTCTTTTCTAGTGTAACTGCTGCAATTTCCATGATGTGACTGTGATGCCACTCTTCATAACGTAGTATGAAAGCACCGCAATCTCTTTTTCTTATCATTCAGAAAGAATGTGGAGATTTGAGTTGGATGTTTATTTAGGTGACATGGGTGCCTTTTCTGACTGTGAAGGAAAGGGAAAGAATGTGTGCATCTTTCCCCTCAAAAATCGGTATCAAAGATCCCCCCCCCCCCCCCCCCCCAGAAGTGTGCAAAGTTGATTTAAATGAGTATATGATTTTGGGTGAATGTCTGTTTTTCAGAACCTTAGTAGTAGACCTAGTAGAAATGGTTTGTAAGGCAAAAAAAAGTATAAATCTACCAAAAAATATCTACATTAAAAATACAAAACTGCTGTTCAATGCAAAAAAAAAAGCAAGAAAAAAAACAAGGTTGAGTTCAATTTGGGGAGTGATGGCCCTTTACAAAAATATTTCAGTATAGCCATTTCTAGAGGCACCGATTTGCTGCAATTGAACGTTTTTATTTTGTAAGCCCCATAGTACAAACAAACAACATTTCTGTAGCAGTTTCGATATTGTGGCTGTGATATGGAGATCCTGTAGTTTTTAGTTTGTTGAGGCAGAGTGGAAGAATCAGTTGATCTTTTGGAGAAAATAATTGTGTGACTTGATGGTTCTCGCTTTGTGACTTTGGTTTTTATTTTAAAGAAGATTTAAGATTTTAAGAACTTTTAACTAGTAAGTTAACTGGCCTGTAATAACCAATGGAAAGAAATACTTAGTTATTTGATTTCAATCTTGTTATCAGATTGACAGTCTATTACAGAAAATAGAGTGTCACCTATGTTAATCCTACTGGAAGGTCTACAGCAGAAGCAGGATTTTAAAGGCAATGCATTTCTACCCAGACACTACTTAAGAGCATAATATAAAACATTCAAGGAAAAGGTGATCAACCAAAAATAATAACATAATTCCATCGTATGACAATATTTTTTTATTTTGAGGTGTTTTACTTTGATCTTTTTTGGTATACAGTATATCCTTTAAGTATCCAGAAATGTCTACACTTTTTTTTTTTGTGTGCGTACGTGTCTGCATTGAACACGTATAGAAATTGGTTCAAAATGACATTTGTTAGAACTTTATCAAGAGAAATGTAAAACACATTTACAAGAATGCAAATGCATTTTTTGCCCCAACCCCTCTAAGTGCACGTGCACAAACTTGAGTTTAATCAGAGGCCCGAAGATGATGGATTGATCGTTTCTGTGGCCTGTGCATTGACTATTAAATCGTGAGTCGGCACACATCTTTAGACTAAATGCGTTTTGTTTTCTATGTGCGTTGTGCTCATCATTATCACTGCAGTGGTTTATTTCAGTTTTTGGTTCCCTCCTTCCGCTTCAAAATATTCTTTTATAATGTTTTTTTTTTTTTTTGAGGAAGAGCTGGGTAAATATTTTAGTCCTCAGAAGACCGAGGAATTGAAGCACAGGCAACAAATGTTTGTTACCATCCCTCCATGTACTCTTGTGATGCATCTGTTGCGCAGTCCAAAATATGTCCGCCAACAGTGTGTGCACACTGGTTCTAATGCACTGTCACAGGGCACAGTGTCTCCACTGCGAGCACAGTTATTGATCCTATGTTTTTTTTATTATTATTATTATTCATCGACCTCTTAATGGACAACGGTATCTTGAGTTGGTATGGCAAAGTCGATAACGAACCATTTTCAATTTGCCAGGGCCTCGATGTCTGCCCCATAATTGTGGCGTTTGTTCTTCACTTGTGTTCAACCGATAGAAACTTGAATGAAAGACTGCTCTGAAAATGTCAGACTACTTTCAATTATTTTATTTAGACAGTTGTCAGTCACTCAGGAATACTTAAATACTAAATATGTTTTTTCAAAGTAGGTGGAAAACACTTCATTCTGTGGCAGTGCATCAGTACTTTCATTCAAGCATTAATTTATTACTGAAACTTCATTTTGATATTTGAGCAAAAAAATGGACAGGCGTTTATTAATCCCAAGCTTCCTACAGAGTTAATTGTACAGCACTTAGTTGTAGAGCTAAGCCGACCGAGCCGTTTGAGATTGCATAAGAAATGTGAGGGGGACCTTTCATTGTCCTCGGTCATATGCAAAATCTTGGCGCATGCAAACTTAAACATTCAAACGTATGTGGAGAAAAGTCACTCCGTTTATTTTGCATGGCTTATTTTTCAGTGCGGGAGAGCTGAGAAAATAGACTGAACTGTTATGGAGTGTCTTTTCAAATAAGAGCAGCATGTCAACATCACACTCCATCTAAGTTAAATAAAACAACAGGTTTTGTATATGAAAATAAGTACAGGCCAGGGTAAAGCAGTGACTTTCTATTGTTTTTTACTTTGTGTGTGTGTGTGTGAATGTGTGAGAGACCGAGTAACAGCACCTACATGGGAGTTTGAAGGAAATGCATTAATTTGTTTTTCTGTTTATATGAGGGGGGGGGGGGGAGTTTGGCGAGAAAATGCATCAAGTGAGAGAGTATGCATTTGAAACTACATTGACGAAGTTTAACAAATTGAGTTTTGATTGCACTGTGGTCTGAAGAACATAGCATATCCGGCATTGAAAACCAGAGTTTTCCTAGTCTCTACTAGATGACACCCTCCCATCCCTCATCCTCCTCCCATCTGTCTCAAGTGGTTGTATTGTTCTAATTTCATGTACACCCTGAGTAAATTATTTTGTTTCATTGTGGAGTTTCTTAACATCTAATAAAGGAATAAACCAAATCACCCCAGGTTCTGTTAATGTTTCTTATTATGCATTTGCACCATGTTCACTGTGCTTTAGAGGGCTCTGCCAAGAGTTCAGTGTTATCAGTGGGCATAATAAAGGTAGTTGTTGAGAATATCAATCTAGAGCCTTCAAACTCAACTCTGGACCTCGAAGCCACTGTATTGTTTCATTGTTCCCCTTTAATCAGAGACTGATTTAGACCTGGGACGCCAGGTGTGTGTGCAATTAATTATCAAGTAGAACCGAAAACCAGCAGGCTCCGGACCTAGTAGGGTAAGAGTTGAGTAACCCTGATCTAGGGGATTCGATATCGGTGTAAAGACAGACCCCTTCCAAGGAGGCAGTATTCTGCAGAAATAAAAAATATCCTTCCTGGTTCCACTAGAGGGCTGACTGATACAGTAGTCCTAATGTTACAGCCTTGCTTACTGTGGTGAAATATATTTTGAAAACGTTTATTTGTTCTTGAATTTCTGAACTGAAATTGACACTTTAAATGATTTGGTCATAAAGTGATGCTGACTCTTATGTTCTGGATATCTGTAAGAGGAGATTAAGTGAAAAGAATGGAAAACCTATGGTATTATGGTATTTGCTTTTACATAATAGCAGATAACCGTAATCAAACAATAATCCTGCAGAGAACACATCAATCAACAAAGTTGTTTCATCGTCACCTGGCGTCCTAGTATACATCTAACAAGGAATCATGCCATAAGGTTCCTGGACGAGTTGACTAGGCTACTTTGAAATTATTGTACTGTTTCATGAAGCGATAGGGACATCGGATAGAGACAATGGGACGATTATTTACGCCTTGACGACTGACAGGTGAATCCATCGATGCTGTAGTCTTTCTTGGCTCGATTAGATTGTCCTCTAGTCGGTAAGTTTATTTTAAAATGGCGGCGGAAGCACCGAGACAGGTATGTTATTACGAAGACTGGATAAACTTGCCTATTGTATTTATCATTTAATTTTTACTTATACAAATTGTGTAGTTATTTAGTGCTATGTTGTAACATTTGAGCAAAACTATCGACTGTTCCATTTGGCTTGAATAGAGGAAAAGGGAGGCATATAAAAGCGACGTATCATTTGAGACTTTGGCAAGTGCTCGAGCGAGTCGTTCGACAAGTTGACATTTGTGTCACTTTTAAGCCACCAAAATGCCACACTCGTACCGCTCGTATTTTGACCTGTCACTACCAAATGAGATGTTTTGTGTGTGTGTTATTGAGTCCTCTAAAAGCGTACTTGACGTAGACTATTTCCTCTGTGAACGCCAAGCTACGCTGAGAGCGGAGGTGAGGGTGGGTTGCAGCAGTGCATCATCATCATCATCATGGACCGCCCGAGGAGCCAACAGCAACCTGAGGTGTCGACAGCCCACCTGTAGCATTAACATGGCACATTCCACGGAGGGGATCAAAGACCGGAGAGGAAGCGAAAGTGGTACGTAGACTGTTGTTGGCATTTTATTTAGGCTAGAAATGGAGCTTGAGCAACAGGTGGACGATGTAGCGGCCTATGCAAATGAGTAGCCTATTAAATAAATAGGCATTATTATTGCCTGTGACACACAATTATCTGAAATTCATAATGATTGCCACTCCAGCCTAATTGTGCATAGCCTGCAGACTACAGTCACTGTGTTACTGAACAGGATATTCTAGTCATTACATCTCCATTAATAATGAGATTTGAGAACAATGCAATTTTGCACTAGGTGTGTTCAGGGTGTGTTGAGGATTCACACTTGTCAAAATGAACAGGCCTAGGCTCATTCAGTTCCACTGAGAGATCTTTGTCTTCAGTCTGTCCAGGTTTGTCATCTTCAGTACAGTCACGTTGTCAGTGTTGTGTGTGTAAAAGAGATCCCTTTTTCATGGGTATGTATTATAATTACAGTATTTTGTTCTCTCTAGTAGATGTGCTTAATTTTGCATGGAGATGAGGAAGTGTAGCATCTAGTCTGTATTCTATCTCAAGCATTGTTATTTGTGTAGCCTGGTCGTTGATAGTATGTGTGTGTGTATATATATATGCATGCCATATAGCAGAAGCTTTTATCCAAAGCGACTTAGTCATGCGTGCATCAATTTTACGTATGGGTGGTCCCGGGAATCGAACCCACTACCCTGGTGTTACAAGCGCCATGCTCTTCCAACTGAGCGACAAAGGACTTCTCTGCATAAGTATGCAATGTGAAATGTTTTGTCCTTGCCTTACTGTGAAGCTACAGTGCCTTTGGAAAGTATTCAGACCCCTTGCTTTTTTCCACATTTTGTTACGTTACAGCCTTATTCTAAAATTGATTCAATTGTTTTTTTCCCCCTGATCAATCTACACTCAATACCCCATAATGACAAAGCAAAAATAGGTTTTTTGAAATGTTTGCAATTTTATTACAAATAAAATGAAAAACATCCCCACAGCTTGATGCTGCCGCTACCATGCTTCACCGTCCTCCAGACGTGACGCTTGGCATTCAGGCCAAAGAGTTCAATCTTGGTTTCATCAGACCAGAGAATCTTGTTTCTCATGGTCAGAATCCTTTAGGTGCCTTTTGGCAAACTCCAAGCTGGCTGTCATGTGCCTTTAACTGAGGAGGGGCTTCTGTCTGGCCACTCTACCATAAAGGCCTGATTGGTGGAGTGCTGCAGAGATGGTTGTCCTTCTGGAAGTTTCTCCCATCTCCACAGAGGAGCTATGTCAGATTGACCATCGGGTTCTTGGTCACCTCCCTGACCAAGGCCCTTCTCCCCGATTGCTCAGTTTGGCAGGGAGGCCAGCTCTAGGAAGAGCTTCTTCCATTTAAGAATGATTGAGGCCACTGTGTTCTTGTGGACCTTCGATGCTGCAGACATTTTTTGGTACCCTTCCCCAGATCTGTGCCTCGACAAAATCTTGTCTCGGAGCTCTACGGACAATTCCTTCGACCTCATGGCTTGGCTCTGACATGCACTGTCAACTGTGTGACGTTATAGAGACAGGTGTGTGCCTTTCCAACTCATGTCCAATCAATTGATTTTACCACAGGTGGACTCCAAGTTGTAGAAACATCTCAAGGATGATCAATGGAAACAGGATGCACCTGAGCTCAATTTCAAGTCTCTTAGCAAAGGGTCTGAAATACTTATGTAAATAAGGAATATATTTTTTACATTTTTAATACATTTGCAAACATAGATTGCTGTGGATTTTTAAATTGTTTTAATCCATTTTAGAATAAGGCTGTAACGTAACAAAATATGGAAAAAGTCAAGGGGTCTGAATACTTTCCGAAGGCACTGTATACCAAACACAGGAAACATAGGCTCCTACTACTTTCAGGAACTGTGACAATCATTCACATGCCGGCCACCAGTAGTAGAAATTACCAAATACTTATATAAAAAAAAAAAAAAAAAAACACTACCGTGAGGAAATGACGAAGAAGTGCAGTGTCATTTCAGCTTCTTACCAAAATGGAGAATAAGAATGACAAATGATTTACTGCTTGTCCAGTCAGTGAACGCCCGGCTGGCTAAACGAACCGTTACCGGGATTAATGATCATCAATGTTGTCATGGCAACGGGTGTTCATTTTCTTTCCTGGTGGCTGAGGAGTTTAGATATTAAAATAAGCGCTTCAGTAGCACAGCAACAAACTGTGTGTGACTCACATGACGACAACCTCTTGATCGGGTTAAAGCTGCATGGGGACTGTGACTTGGGGCTTTAGGTGAGTTCAGTCAGTGGGAAATCACTGTTAAATGGGGTTTTATATATATACTGAACAAAAATATAAATGCAACATGCAATAATTTTAAAGAATTACAGTTCATATAAGGAAATCCGTCAATTGAAATGAATTTAATTAGGCCCTAATCTATGGATTTCACATGACTGGGAATAAAGATTATACATCTGTTCGTCATAGATACCTTTAAAAAAATAAAAAAAGGGCAGTGGATCAGAAAACCAGTCAGCATCTGGTGTGACCACTATTTGCCTCCTGCAGCGCGACACATCTCCTTCGCATGGAGTTGATCAGGCTGTTGATTGTGGCCTGTGGAATAATGTCCCACTCCTCTTCAACGGCTGTGGAATAATGTCCCACTCCTCTTCAATGGCTGTGGAATAATGTCCCACTCCTCTTCAACGGCTGTGAGAAGTTACTGGAACTGGAACATGCTGTCGTACACGTCGATCCAGAGCATCCCAAACATGCTCAATTGGTGACATGTCTGGTGAGTATGCAGGCCATAGAAGAATTGGGACATTTCGAGCTTCCAGGAAATGTGTACAGATCCTTGCAACAATTCTCTGGCAACAGCCCTGGTGGACATTCCTGCAGTCAGCATGCCAATTGCACGCTCCCTCAACTTTAGACATCTGTGGCATTGTGTTTTGTGACAAAACTGCACATTGTAGAGTGTCCTTTTATTGTCCCCAGCACGATGTGTAATGATCATGCTGTTTAATCAGCTTCTTGATATGCCACACCTGTCAGGTGGATGGATTATCTTGGCAAAGGAGAAATGCTCACTAACAGGGATGTAAACAAATGTGTGCTCAACATTTGCGTGAAATAAGCTTATTGTGCATATGGAACATTTCTGGGATCTTTTATTTCAGCTCATGAAACATGGGACCAACACTTTACATGTTACGTTTTTATATTTTTGTTCAGTGTAGTCATATAAATATAAGTGTTCTCCTTTTCTCTGGTAGCACTTGGTGACTATTGCTTTGTGCCAGGGGCAGTGTATCCATCTACCCATGCTCTCTCTCCACACACACACACACACACACACACACACACACACACACACACACATGGCACCATAGTATCTCTTCCAGTTCTGGCCAGAGACCTTGAACTCTCCTCTGAACTGAGGTCTTTTATCACACAGACTGTTTCCATCAGATCCAGATCCGAGCAGCATGTGGTGCAGCCAGTCAGGATGCTCCACACACTGACTCGGCAACACTGGAACTTTACATGACTGTGCCGCTTTTGACTGACCACAGTAAAACTAAAAGTACAGTCTAAGGGTTTTTAGAAGCTTGTGTCAATGCAATACAAGAAAAGCACTGTCAGAACAAATTCATTCACTTAGCATTGACATTTTTTTTGGGCCAAATGCAATTCTATTTCTAAGACTCCCATTAAAAGAGATGATGCAGGGGTTTCTGAAACCGTCTTCATTTCACCCTTCCTGTTCCTCTCCTGGACCTCAACAGTAAGGTCCCGTATAGCCTAGCCTGATTGGAGGGGCCCAGGCAGGCACACGGTACAGGAGGCTCGTTCAGATTTCAGGCTGTGTTTGTGGATTCAGTTTCAGCCTGGTTACTGTCCGGTTCCTCTCTCACCTCCCTGTATGTTTCTGCTTCATTGTTCCTGTTATCTGATGTCCTGATGAGGGGAGGAGGAGGTGGTGAGGGAGGGGCAGGGGAGGTGTCTCCTACTTTCATGGGTAATATACTGTTCTGGGTCAGTGATTGGTCTGTTTCGCAGTAGTTAGGTTCTGGAGCTTGACTTTTTTGCTCTACTGACCTGTCAAACCAAAGCCCTCAAACTTAACTTGGACCTCGAAGCCAGTTCCACTGCATTTTTTTTTTCATTGTTCCCCTCTAATCAGTGACAGATTTAGACCCGGGACATCAGGTGTGTGCAATTAATTATCAGGTAGAACAGCGAACCGTCAGGCTCCGGACCTCGTAGGGTGAGAGTTGACTATCTATGGCTAATGTTATTCGAAAATGTTGTACTGAAAGAGAATATGAATGGAATTTTTGAAATGGGAAAATTTGAAATTATTTGTTTCTGGCCATTTACAGGCCATCCAGACAACTATCAACTTTTACTGTACCACATAATTTTATTATCACTACTAGTAGTGACTCTCGTCCATAATTCCTTGTTGGTTTCAGGTGCGGCTGGAGGTACCATAATGGCGAATGGCACGGTCAGCTCAGACAACCATAACCACCACCATGAGCACAGCAAGCCCCCCCTCATTCAGCACTCCCTGCACTATGGCAACCCCCAGCAGGGCCACGATGACCAGGACCGACACAGCCTAGCCTCCCAGGACTCTGGCATCCCCACCCTGGAGATCAACCACCCCGAGCACATCCACGCCCAACCGCGCACAGGAGAGAGTGGCCTTACCCTGGGGTCGAACCACCACGACCAGGGCCCTGCTACCCTCTCTCTGGACCAGTCTGGAGACAGCGCAGGCCTCCGCAAGTCCTCCACCTTCCCCCGCAGTGGCTATGACTCGGTGCGCCTCTTCAGCCCAGCCCCAAGGTCCGGCGCTGGCGGTGTGGGAGTCATCACCACGGGGATGGGCGGTGTAGGAGGGGGAACCCTGAACCGCAGTGACGACATTTCGGTGAGCAGCGTGTCGAGCTTGAGCACGGAGCTCTCGGCCACGCTGTCGGCGTCCAACGAGGACATCCCGGACTTCATGGTCACCTCCGACTCCAGCGCCATCGTCACCCTGGAGACGGACGAGGGCGACGCCGCCCAATTCTCGGACGTCACGCTGTCGTCGTCACCGGGCGGTGACATCGGAGGGGATCTGTGGAGCCCACGGCGGAGACACCTGGGGCCGGGGGCAGAGGAGGGCAGGCCCAAGAGGCTGGGGCCGCTGGCTAGCTTCTTCAACAGGTACGATGGAGGTTATCACTCTGTGCCATCTTCGACAGTCTATTTGGGTCTGTGTGCATAACTGCATTTTTAAGCGCAAATCTCCCATTGACGTAAGGCTCGATTTATGAGAGATTCTACTTGCATGTGGTACGTATGATTCATATCATATTTTCTGTACAGCTATACCATACTATGACAAAAGAAGACATTGCTGAAGATTTCTGTGAAAAACTGAGTGTATACACACCGCTCCCAGAGTCCAATACAGTCAACCTGACCTGTGTACAGGGTATATGACCAATGGAACATTCTATGGTTGAATGCATTCAGGCCTCAAGCCTCCTATGTAAACCTAGTGAACTGGTAAATGCAGCGCTGTTCAGCTTTTACTATGAATAACTTATTCCCCATACGCCCTGTGAAATTATGCTTGACAGGAGATTGCACTGGAGCCATAGGAAACCTGTTTACCTACGCCTAAACACACCCCGTAATACATTGTTCAAAGTCAAGTTTAAAAAGAAAATATCGTAGGTAAGCACTCCAAGCATAGAAGCGAACACACACACACACACACACACACACACACACACACACACACACACACACACACACACACACACACACACACACACACACACACACACACACACACACACACCAATGTCTACATAGTCCTCTGTTAATGTTTGAAGGACCTTTGGTACCTTTCATTGTACCAGATGTATTGGTAGGGTTGGATCAAAAGCCTGCACACCAAAAAGTGTTGACGGGCGGACTGCACAGTGCACACTGTGATGAACCTTGTGACTATGGTTACCAGTAAACTACCTGTAAGTCGCTCTGGATAAGAGCTTCTGCTAAATGACTAAAATGTAAACGTACATTTTTATATGGATTTTTATCAGAAGACATCTAGTGGCCTTTTTGGGTACTTCAGATTATCACAGGTGTCTAATTATCTCTGTTCCTCTGTGTGGCCACATGTCAAATATAAATAAATCAAATAAGATTATTTAAAAAAATAGAAGAAAGCTGTAAATATAAACCATCAACTTAGTGAATACCGTTGGTGGTTTAAATGACGCTTTCAGCATGAAATGATTTTTATACATTTAGATATTTTACTATGTGAAAATGTCTTTGTTGTCAAAGTTTTAGGGTCAGACTGGTACCAGTTGTGACAAAAGTAAATAGTTGGACGAGGTAATTTGAAAATAATGCCATTGTTGATTAGATGTTTTTTATTTTTTTCATTAATTAGGCTATTTTCCCTTGAACCATATGGTATATCTACTAGAAACTCATAGACATTATGGACATGGATATAAAAAATGAATACTATATATGGATACGTTTTTTTAAAAGTTATTCCAATTATCAATTACCAAAGCTAACATGGATTGCCATAGATTACGGTAACTTTGGTAAATTACCGGTTTGCTTTGCAAACCTACTTGGTACAGTGTGGGAATTGCTCTGTGAAATAAAATACTAATTTGGATCACACAGTAGGATTAGATTAATCACTCTGGTTAAACTACACAGGTCCCACATTTCGCACTATACCCCAGTCACCTCACTGCTTCCCTTCCAAATCGCAGTCATCAGACACTCACCAGGTGCGTTAGGCTCGGATGAACAAAGTGTGTGAGTTTTGGCTTCATCTATTTCGGGAGCTCACTACCTCTGTACTCAAACACAAACTCTCTCCGATTCATCACATCTCATACTTAATCATGTGAGATCATCTATTGACACACACACAGAGAGAGAGAGAGAGAAAGGAAAAACTATACAGGAATAAGGAACGGCACGTCAGAAATCAGCTCATCGTAATTGAAGAATCCATAGAATCTAACTACTTCTGGGAAAATTGGAACACACTAAACAAACAACAACACGAAGAGTTATCTATCCAAAATGGAAATGTATGGATAAACCACTTCTCCAATCTTTTTGGCTCTATATCAAAGAACAAACAGCAAAAACATACCAAATCTTTATAATCAACTATTAAGATCTTGCATACAGAATTCTGCAAAACATATCCTCTCCATGTACAACGTAAAACACCAAGTAATGCATGCAGAGCAGAATGGGCCGAAAATCCAGAAATGAGCCGTTAAATTCTACAACCACCTAAAAGGAAGCGATTCCCTAACCTTTAATAATAAAGCCATCACCTACAGAGATTAACCTGGAGAAGAGCAAGCTGGTCCTGCGGCTGTTCACAAACAGACTCCACAGAGCTCCAGGACAACAACACAATTAGACCCAACCAAATCATGAGAGAACCAAAAGATAATTACTTGATACATTGAATACAAAAATTAACAAACAAAAAAAACAGACGCAAACTAGAATGCTATTTGGCCCTAATCAGAGAGTTACACAGTGGCAGAACTACCTTGACCACTGTGAACTGACCCCAAATTAAGGAAAGCTTTGACTATGTACGGACTCAGTGGGCATACCTTGGTATTGAGAGAGGCCGCCGTAGGCAGACCTGGCTCTCAAGAGAAGACAGGCTATGTGTCCACTGCCCATAAAATGAGGTGGAAACTGAGCTGTACTTCCTAACCTCCTGCCAAATGTATGACCATATTAGAGAGACATATTTCCCTCAGATTACACAGACCAACAAATCACATTTTTATAAACTCCCATATAGACAGTGGCTTGCGTCAGTATTCACCCCCCTTGGCATTTTTCCTATTTTGTTGCCTTACAACCTGGAATTAAAATGGATTTTTTGGGGGTTTGTATCAGTTGGTTTACACAACATGCATACCACTTTGAAGATGCAAAATTATTTTTTATTGTGAAACAAACAAGAAATAAGACTTGAGCGTGCATAACTACCCCCCCCCCCCCCCCCCCCATGTCAATACTTTGTAGAGACACCTTTTGCAGCAATTACAGCTGCAAGTCTCTTGGGGTATGTCTCTATAAGCTTGGCACATATAGCCACTGGGAACTTTTTCCCATTCTTCAAGGCAAAACTGCTCCAGCTCCTTCAATTTGGATGGGTTCCGCTGGTGTACAGCAATCTTTAAGTCATACCACAGATTCTCAATTGGATTGAGGTCTGGGCTTTGACTAGGCCATTCCAAGACATTTAAATGTTTCCCCTTAAACCACTTGAGTGTTACTTTAGCAGTATGCTTATTGTCATTGTCCTGCTGGAAGGTGAACCTCCGTCCCAGTCTCAAATCTCTGGAAGACTGAAACAGGTTTCCCTCAAGAATTTCCCTGTATTTAGCGCCATCCATCATTCCTTCAATTCTGACCAGTTTCCCAGTCCCCGCCGAGGGAAAAACATCCCCACAGCATGATGCTGCCACCACCATGCTTCACTGTGGGGATGGTGTTCTCGGGGTGATGAGAGGTTTTGGGTTTGCGCCAGACATAGCGTTTTCCTTGATGGCAAAAAGCTCAATTTTAGTCTCATCTGACCAGAGTACTTTCTTCCATATGTGTGGGGAGTCTCCCACATGCCTTTTGGTGAACACCAAACGTGTTTGCTTATTTATTTCTTTAAGTAATGGCTTTTTTCTGGCCACTCTTCCGTAAAGCCCAGCTCTGTGGAGTGTACGGCTTAAAGTGGTCCTATGGACAGATACTCCAATCTCCGCTGTGGAGCTTTGCAGCGCCTTCAGGGTTATCTTTGTTGCCTCTCTGATTAATGCCCTCCTTGCCTGGTCCGTGAGTTTTGGTGGGCGGCCCTCTCTTGGCAGGTTTGTTGTGGTGCCATATTCTTTCAATTTTTTAAATAATGGATTTAATGGTGCTCCGTGGGATGTTAAATGCTTGGGATATGTTTTTATAACCCAACCCTGATCTGTACTTCTCCACAACTTTGTCCCTGACCTGTTTGGAGAGCTCCTTGGTCTTCATGGTGCCGCTTGCTTGGTGGTGCCCCTTGCTTAGTGGTGTTGCAGACTCTGGGGCCTTTCAGAACCGTTGTATACAGCTCAGGAGAAAATTAAGAGACCACTGCAAAAATATAGGTTTATCTGGTTTTATTCTTTATAGGTATTTGTTTGGGTGAAATTAACATTTTTGTTTTATTCTATAAACTACTGACAACATTTCTCCCAAATTCCAAATAAAAATATTGTCATTTAGAGCATTTATTTGCAGAAAATGACAACTGGTCAAAATAACAAAAAATATGCAGTGTTGTCAGACCTCGAATAATGCAAAGAAAATAAGTTCATGTTAATTTTTAAACAACACAATACTAATGTTTTAACTTAGGAAGAGTTCAGGAATCAATATTTGGTGGAATAACCCTGATTTTCAATCACAGCTTTCATGCGTCTTGGCATGCTCTCCACCAGTCTTTCACATTGATGTTGGGTGACTTTATGCCACTCCTGGCGCAAAAATTCTAGCAGCTCTGCTTTGTTTGATGGCTTGTGACCATCCATCTTCCTCTTGATCACATTCCAGAAGTTTTCAATAGGGTTCAGGTCTGGAGATTGGGCTGGCCATGACAGGGTCTTGATCTGGTGGTCCTCCATCCACACCTTGATTGACCTGGCTGTGTGGCATGTCGCATTGTCCTGCTGGAAAAACCAATCCTCAGTGTTGGGGAACAATGTCAGAGCAAAAGGAAGCAAGTTTTCTTCCAGGACAACCTTGTACGTGGCTTGATTCATGCATCCTTCACAAAGACACATCTGCCCGATTCCAGCCTTGCTGAAGCACCCCCAGATCATCACCGATCCTCCACCAAATTTCACAGTGGGTGCGAGACACTGTGGCTTGTAGGCCTCTCCAGGTCTCCGTCTAACCATTAGACGACCAGGTGTTGGGCAAAGCTGAAAATTGGACTCATCAGAGAAGATGACTTTACTCCAGTCCTCTACGATCCAATCCTTATGGTCTTGTGTAAACCTCAGCCTGGCTTTTCTTTGCTTCTCATTGATGAAGGGCTTTATTCTAGCTTTGCACGACTTCAGCCCTGCCCCTAGGAGCCTGTTTCGAACCGTCCTCGCCGTGTACTTCACCCCAGCTGCCGTTTGCCATTATTTTTGTAGGTCACATGATGTCATCCTACGGTTGTTGAGT